TTATGTTAATTTATTATTTTTTATAACTTTTGATCTTAATTACAAAGCTAAATGAAGTTATTGAAAAATTTAAAATCAGTACAAATCTTTAATGAAAATATTGTTCATTTATAACAATGAAAATTTAAATACACAAGGCTCAAATGATGAAATCAATAAACCCAAGAAGGAAATGCCAATAAAAGCCCGGATGCGGTATTTATTGCATAAAAATTGTGTGCTGTTTCTTTAGCAAAAGATGTTGATAGTCACGATATAAATCCGCAAATGAATCGAAAGACTCAGAATACGGGCCTATAAAAATGAGGATGAAAATGAAAGAAATAAAGTTACTTACAAAAACATAATTGATGTCCAAGTTAATTAAAAGCTATTCAAGACTCTTCGAAAAATTTTTATGTTTAAAACCCGTTGAAAATGTTGTTTGAAAACACATGATTAGAAACAGAAAGCAGAGTGGTCTAGCAACCTGCTCGATGTCTAATGAGGAAACCGTCACAAGGAAAGAGGACAACAGAGTTAAACATACGAGATAATAATAAATATTATAACACAAAATCAGAAACAAAAACCTGGTTAAAAACGAAACATAGGAAAGAACAAGGGAGAGAAAAAAAAGAAAAGAAGAAACATTAGGAGCATTTGTTTATGATAAGAAGGTAAGAATGGTCCAAAAGAATCGTGTGAATCTTGAAGATTTATGCTATTTTCTTGTTGCTTAATGTATAGCATTTTCGATATGACGGAAGAGAATCTTTTCGTCTAATATTCGGACGTTATCCCAATCAAATTCATGCCCTGTGAGATGTTCCGTAATTACCAAGTGACAAGAAAAATCACGTTTTATATTAAGGTGATGTTCTCTTATCCTTGTTGTTAATTGTCGACTCGTTTGGCCTACATAAGACGCATCGCAGTCACGGCAACAGATCTTATATACCACATTATTACGATTTAAAGCCGGAAGAGAATCTTTATATGTTTTAATAATGTTAAGTTTATTGACACACACGTATGTCATAGCTTTCTCGGTATTTTTAATTACTGGCATTAATCTTTCTGTGACACTTCTTACGTAAGGGATTGTAAAAAAGAAAGGAATGGCAAAAAGGGAAACTGGGAGGGGTAGTGGAACTGGAAGGAGAATTGAAGCTAGCCCTTTTATTAATTAAGGATTTAATTCTGTTACGGATGGTCATAAAAATAAAATCTACAGAGTAGTCATTTTCCATAAGGATGTTGATAATTAGATTAAAATTTTTTTCATGGAATTGTGGATGCGATAAGCGGAAGATCCGATCCACTAAGCCGATAATAACACCCTTTTTGTGATATGTCGGATGTCGTGAATAAAAATTTATAAACCTTTTCGAGAATTTAAAAACATCATCTCAATATAAACCGTGATTTTTCTTGTCACTCAGTAATTACAAAACATCGACTCACAGAGCATGAATTTGATTGGGATAACATCTGAATATTAGACGAAGAGCCTTCTTATATCGAGAGACTCATACTGAAAATGTTATACATTAAGCAACAAAAAAATAGCATAAATCTTCAAGATGACACGATTTTTCTGGACCATTCTTACCTTCTTATCATAAACAAATGCTCTTAATGTTTCTTCTTTTCTGTTTTTTTTTTCCCTTGTTCTTTCCCATGTTTTGTTTATAACCTTGTTTTCGTTTCTGATTTTGTGTTATAGTATTTGTTATTATCTCGTATGTTTTATTATGTTGTCCCCTTTTCTTGTGACGGTTTCCTCATTAGACATCGAGCAACTTGCTAGACCAGTCTGCTTTCTGTTTCCAATCATGTGTTTTCAAACAACATTTTCAACGGGTTCTAAACAAAAAAAAATGTTCAAAGAGTCTCGCATCGCTTTTAATTAATTTGGACATCTTTTTTGTTTTTGTAAGTAACTTTATCTCTTTCATTTTTATCCTCATTTTTATAGTCTTTCGATTCATACTCATCGCAGCGTTGCATCTTGCATCTTGCATTTTTTACTAATTTCGCTATCCTTATTTCCTCAACTCCATACGCTTATACTGGACTCACATTTTTTTTCGACATTAAAAGCTTCACCATCGGTTTTCTTATTACGGATGTGATGTCACTCGATTGCTCGCACCCGCCTCCAACATTTTGCCTAAAAGCATAATTAAGCGGCCGTCTGATGAGCTTAACCCACGCGGAATCTTACAGTCATCTGCGATCCATTGGATAATCTTGTAAGCGCTGTATAATGTTAGTTAATAGTATAAGTTGCGTTCCGGATACATTACTCCACCTCACGAGTTCTCGGTTTTTGTATTAATATTAGATTATTACCATTGATAAAGATCCGAAGCGGGCCGTAACGTTTGGTGTTTGTCATTTTATAATGTTTATTTGCGAACTTATATCGTGACCATCAACATCTTTTGCTAAATAAATAGCACACAACTTTTACGCAATAAATACTACGTCCGGGCTCTTATTGGCTTTTCTCTCTTGGATTTATTGATTGTTTATTTATTTCATATCGAAAATTAACATACCCTATAGACGGTAGTATATTTTAAAAAATGCGATTATATAACTCGGTTTTTACTTTCAAAATCTTATCATATTTGACTATGCCATTTTCCACATTGTTAAGTCGAGCTTCACGATATAATACGATTCATTTCCGTCAAATTCTGTCCAGTACAGATTTCTTGCTACCCAATCGATGCAGAGATAGTGCACAACAAATTGAAGCTTAGCTATTTTTGTAATATATTTTTCACTCATCTCCAATATCATCAGCTCTCTCTCTTTATTGGTCCAATAGATTTTATGTTCCGCTATGGAATACGTGGCATGAAAAATGTCATCCTTAACGAGATTAACGTTGATTTTTGAATACATATCCTATATATCGATACCGTTTCGCGTTATCATCAATAATTGCGGTATTGGATTTTCGTGCGTAGTCGATACATCAATTAAATCTGTGTAAAGACCGGCACCAACTTTAGTATGCGCTCGTACTTGAAAGTAGTACGTCGTATTAGGTTTTAGATTATGCACCGTGCACTCCAATACTACATTTTTGTTGTCACAGATTTGAATTTTTTTTAGATTCTCGATGAACCAACACTGCACTGTGTATCCTTGTATTACTTCGTCTGTAAATTCAGGTTTGTTCCATCTGTAAAAAAATAATATTTTAGCCTTTTTATATTTAGTAAAATGATAACAGAATCAACGTTTTTATATGTATATGTCATTAAATTTAAAAAAATACAGTCTGAGACTTTAGATTTTTTACCTGAATGTCACAGAAATGTCGTCTTCTTTACTTAAGAATCGATTATAAAACTCTACAAATGCTCTGGGACATGTTGGTTTGCTCAAAATGTTTTCTAGAAATTTTAAAATTGCACATATTGGCATAATTATATACAAGAACATTAAGTTGTATATGTCAGTAATTCAGAAAAAAAAACAATTTAAAGTAAAAATAAAAGCAAGAAAGAGAAACGTAAATTACAAAATATGGAAATTAGCATACCAAGTGTTGATTTTTTAAATAATAAAATAATATAAAAAAGTTTGCGCGTTTTATAAAACTCAAAAAAGTAATTGTTAATGAACAAAAACAAATACAAAGTTTTTAATAATGCATTAAACATTTTTCGGAAATATTTTATTGATTGAGAAATCAGAAGTACAATTTTTGTGATTGTTCTAAAAAAAACTGTCAAAATTAATTAATATAATTAACTGCTTTATATTAAATCTTGATTAATTTTACATATAATATGTGGATTCTTTTTTTTGCGACAAAATGAAATTTATATCCTTCTCGCTGTTGAAAGATATATTTTTTTTTAGATTTTACTTTTACTTTTTCTTAAATGTAAATTATATTTATAATTTTTGTTGTCGTAGACTTTTTTTTTAACGATTTATGCATTTTTTTGCAACTTACCTTTATTAGGTTTTCGGATCACAGACATATTTGCAAATGTAATCTCATCAATTTTATTTCTCACACTCACACTCTTAGGATGACTCCGGTCAAATTTAAAGTTTTGTAAAATGTGATAATCATTGTTTTCGGATACTGAAATATCCTTTTCTTGTTTGTTTAATCATATAGACGTGATAATTTTCTTTATACTTCCTTGATTGATAATGTGTTTAAAACATACAGAATAGTTACTATTTTTTTTTAAATTTGTTTTTATTGTTTTTCAAGACTTTTTTTAATATATATATAACTATCCTTAACATAAAAAAAATGCTGATTTTCTAAATTAATTTTGTTAAATGAAAACTAATTTAGTACAAATCTTATTATATTAATAAATGGTTATAAATATTTAAAAAAATAAAGAGGTCTTAGGACTTGAAGAAAATCACACAAAAATCAGTTCAAGTGTCATTATATGTATGTATTAATATAGCGGAGAATAAACAGAAAATCTCATATTGAGGCTAAAAATACTTATTTTTAAAAAAGCAAAGAGAAAGATACAAAGATAATACAGTTCAGTTTCAATACACTATTTTAATTAAGCTTAATTTTGTACTATAAAACATCTACTTATAAACAAAATTTACAAGATTTATACATCCCCTTTTTTCAAAACATCACATATACTCTTCTAGTGTCTTATGTTTATATAATTTTATTTTATTAATATGCAGTACATATTTTATTATCATATACAATTTTAGTAACCCAAATGAACTATTAGCTATAATAACAGTTAATTTTATTCAACAAAGCAATCTCTTACCTGTATGAAGTCTGAATCCGGATGCTTTGACAAGATATCCGCTTTCGCTAATATTAACACTTTCAGTAAAATATATACCGTTTCTGACATAATAATTTTTTTTTTGTTGTAAATACTTGCGCTCAATCTGTTTCCGCGCAATCCTTGGCAGCTCAACTATGAATAGTGATTTTATCGATATTCTAGATAATGTGCAACTGTGCTAATCGAAACGATGTTTTCTTATGTATATTATTTTTTGAAATTTGTTTAGTACATCAATTATGAGATCTCTTCTAACGATACTTTCCAAAATTTTTTTTTATAACCAATCACTATGTATTTTACATATATATATACTATACGTGCTTTTGAGAGTCCACTATTCGTGCACGTCGTTCTTGACAGACTTTTGACTCTTGACTAACTTATGTATCATACGGTTCTAATCGAGCGACACATAACGCCATTGCGTATTTGTATTTGATTGGTACCATCATAAATCATCAGCCTGAATAATCGATTTAAATTAAGCATTTTTGCCGTAACATTATTTTTTATTTGCTGCATTCCACTTGCAACTCATTTACTTCTATGAAGATATTTGTTGCTACTTTAAAAAAAGCTAGACTTTCTACGATTTGTTTAATTTCACATTATTAATATTATTAATGAGTAATTAACGTTCATAAATAATATGTAACCACGTATATCGCGACAATAAACTTCGAAGAGCATATTTCGCAACGAAGGCATTTGTTGGGTGAGGAGGTTTGAGTACTCTAATGAACCTAAGAACTATGCCGGCGGTAACGTAATTACTGCTACCAGTGATCCAGTGTTACGGTGATCCTACGATCACTCATGCCGAACAGGTCGAGAGAGAAGAGTGAGACTAAGAGAGATAGTTATATTTATTATGTCAAAATTTTTGAATAAGATAGAAGCAAATGAGATAATCGAGGGAATAAAGAAAAGGGGGCTTCAGTGGTTTGAATATCTTTTAAGAATGCCTGAGAATAGATAACCGCAGAAAATATTTCGATTGACACCACAGGAAGAAGGAAACGCAACAGGCCCCTACGATCTTGAGACAACAAAATTTGATAATCCACCAAAATACAAGGACTTGAAGAAGAGGATGCATTGGACAGTATCGCCGAGAAATTATATAAACGTGAAAAAATTAATTAAATGTTAATGATCAAAACTTCTTCATTTTCGAAAAAGTACTGTTAAAACTATAGAAAAATGAAGTATTTATCAAATTTTAAGAAATTATTAAAGCTTTCAAGTGAAATTCACAAATTTAAATAATCGCAGGCTAGTAAGAGCCAGACACGGATAGTAGTGCATCAGTTTCATAGAAAAATAAGTTTTCTATGATTATGTGCGCAGGACACAAAATTTTACTTGATCTTTTACCAAGTGTAAATTAATCTCAATTTGAAATTTATAATAACACGATTCAGCAACTTCACCCCGATATTTTTCTTCTTTTCGTCTCTCCAGGGAGGTAAAGAAGGGTTATTATAAATCTTGTATTAAGATTAATTTACACTTAGTATAAAACCAAGTAAATTTTCATGGCCTGTGCACATAATCAGTTGCAGGGAAAACTTCTTTTTCTATGAAACTGACGCACTACTATCCGCGTCTGGCTCTTACTAATCCGCGATTATTAAAATTTGTGAAGTATTTATAATTGAATAAACCTTCGCATTTCGGAAATGACAATTTTTCATATGTTGTATAAAGATATATTCAAGTCTCGAGAGAGGTAAATTTTTTTGCGATTCTGTCTTCTTATTTAATGTTTTGAGTAACACCCCACGGGATACAAAAGAAACCTTTAACATTTTTACGCTGAAAAATATTGCAAGAGATATTACTATTCTTCGCATAATATTTTGCGAAATCCTAATAGTATATCTATCATTGGGCAATCACATAAACGTGAAAAAAATAACAATAATCAATAGAAAGATTTTAGGAGCAAATATCGGATGTTCGTGTAACAAAAATTCACATTTAAAAAACAAATTTACGCAACATTTAATATGTTACTCAATAAAATAGAATATTAATGGACATACAAAGTACAATATATATGTAATGTGAATAATATAATAAAATTAATAAGAAAACTATTTATAAAAGAAAATTAATGAAAACGTAAATTATAAGAAAAAATCGTAGACGTTTCTGTCTTAATCTGGATTCTCTTCAATGTAGAAGATAGCTTCATATTACATATAAAAAGCAACGGTCAATGAATAAAAATTAAGATAACGCAGTTAACAAAGTAAAATACCATAGTGGATCGGTTGTTAAATATATTGAATTTCTCCAACGACTTTCCAGTGGAAAAACAATTAGCATTGTCCCCCACATAGTTGTGCCAAAAACTTGCGGTCGAGAATACGATTAATAACCATGGATCGTCTAAAAAATGTTTATGGTAGTGATGGAATAATGCTGAATAAAACAAAAATCTTGAGTCTCACCGATAGAAGGTTAATACCAGGAGAAAATCGAAATGCTTAACTGACATAGAACATCACATTGTGTGGTATGTCTTATGTTAAATTGCCGCGCGAACAAAAGATATAAACAAAAAATAGATTTCCGCGTTTCGGAAATTACAATTTTTCGTATGTCATATAAATATATATCTAAATCTCCGGAAAAAAGTATTATTTTCGCATTTCCGACCTTTTAATTAAAATTCTGAGTGAAAATCCATAAGATAGAAAAGAACATTCTTAACATTTTATACCGAAAAAATTAATTAACGCTGACAACAATAAAACCTCCTTGAAAAACGATAAAACACGGTTAAAACTATAGAAAAATATAATAATTAATTATGCTTATATAAATTTATAATTTGTAACTTTTAATGTGCATCGGTGCGCATTAGTGCAAAGATATGTTTGATGTCATTTTTATCGCAAAAATCTCATTAATTCATTAAAATTATTTTTAAACCGATAAAATGCAAGTAGGAACCTCTCTCAAAGTAAGAACTGAAGTGACAGACATCCAAATTATAAATTACTAGCACAACACAACGCGCGCTTCGCGCGCGCTATTTATTCTTTTTCATTAAATAATAATATTTAACAATATATTTAATAATACTGAACTATATTATTACCTGATATTATATTTATTCTCCACCTTTGTTCCTTTTGTCTCCCTGCCTCTCTTTTGGTTATACTTTTTCTTCTTTAATTTTAACTCTCTCTTTTTCTCTCTCTCTCCCTTTCTCTCTCTTACTTATTCTTCCTCTTCTTTAATTTTAAATAAACTATCCTTTTTTTACATTCTAATCTGGTACCATTGCATAAACCTTCACTGATACTAAGATTTCTAATAAGCATAACAATAGTGTATTTTCTTAAGCGTAATTCATGAGGTGGAAGACACGTTGGGTTTAAAGAGTTAAGATATTCTATCAGAATTATTTCATGTATATCTTCATTATCTCAAGTCTAGTAAAACATTAAAAAAAAAAATAAATATATACAAAATATTGCTTATATTCTCTCTCTCTCTCTCTCTCTCTCTCTCTCTCTCTCTATTGCTTATTTTTTCTCTTTTTTAATTTAAAATAAACTATCCTTTTTTTGCTTTCGCTCTATCTTTCTCTCTTTCTCTTAGTCTCTTAAAATTAAATAAATTAGATAATAATAATTTTTAGTAATATGTTTTAATACTATTTAACAATATATTTAATAATACTTAACAATATTATTACCTGATATTATATTTATTCTCCTTCTTTTTCCTTCTGTCTCTTTCTCTCTCTCTCTCTTTCTCTCTCTCTTTTATACGTCTTTTCTTCTTCCTTTTTGTCTCTATATTAATTAAATATATTTAACTTTGTTTTCTTTAACTCTATTTTCTTTAACTGTCAAACTGTCAAAAGACATAAACTGTCAAATTGTCAAACGAGTGAAGCAAGCGTAAATACAACAAGCTCGCCGCGCAACTCGACAACCAATCAGACACAAATGGCAAGAACACGTGCGATACATATCGACTCAAAACGCACACTTCTCGGTACGTTCAGAGTGAAGCGAGGGGGGGATTTAAGGCGGGAGAAGGCACGAACCAAGCATCCATCTCTTCCGTAGCAGCGCCACTGTCGTATCTGTGTAGGGCGTTTACACACTTCCTCAGCCCGACAAATAATTGTTAGAAAACAACATTTGCGGGTCGAAGGTGTGTTAGAGGCCCTCTTTCCATCATAGGCCCTCCCCTTCGGCGCGGGTGGCTGCCAAGAGGCGGCCATCCCGTGGTCTGAGGACTTGGAGGTTTCAGAGGACGAGATGGCCGGTGTGATCCGTCGGTTGAGACTCCGGGGCAATAAGGCCCGGGCCCCGATGGGATCCCCGGCCGGGTCTGGGTCCTGGCTTTGGCCCAACTGCACGGGCGCCTGAGGCGGCTGTTTAACAGCTGCCTCAGGGAAGGTGTGTTCTCCCCGGCATGGGTAGGGGCCAGACTGGTCCTCATCCCGAAGGGGAGCAAACCCGGTAGCGTCCCTTCTGCCTACAGGCCAATATGCCTGTTGGACGAGGCGGGAAAGCTCTTGGAGAGAGTGTTGGCGAACCGCCTCGTCCAACACCTGTCCCGAGGAGGGATGGACCTCCACCGAGACCAGTATGGATTCCGCGGGGGGCGATCGACCGTGGACGCAATCTTGCGCGTGCGGTCCCTCGCGGAGTCCATCATGAAGAAGGGCAGGGTGGTGCTTGCGGTGTCCTTGGACATCCGCAACGCCTTCAACACCCTGCACACACACACACACGTGGACGCACGGGCTTCGCACGTACGTGCGCTAACTCGGTCTGGTTTAGATCGTCCTGTACACGCTCAGGCATTCATGTCCCATACATATTTATGCCGCTCGGTTGCACGTAACGGGGGGAGAGGGGGGGAGGGATAGGGGTGAAAGGGGTACCGATGGGTTGGCGTAACTATATATGTATATATACATACATACGTATGTACGGTGTGTGCCGTTGGAATATCATGGGAGGCATCGCGTCATGTCGGGGCTTGATACGTTTGTTTCGTAACTAGGCGGCTAACATTGCGCGTCGCCGTATGTAGGAAAGCCAGCATCCGCAGCACATCGGGGGGTTGCGCGCTTATATAATACGGCGCCTCCGACGTGCCGTCGACGTGTTTCTCGCGGTTATCGCCGCGCCAGGCAACGGTCCGTATCGCGCGTCTCGAAGATGACGACGTCGATTCCGCGACGTCCGTCAAGCGGTCGTGCCAAGGATGTCGGCGAGAGGGAGGAATGAAACGTCAACCGTGACATAAACCGGAGTCGCATATACTCGTAAAAACTCTTGCGAATTGATGCGAGATCCTCTGCGAAAGATGCGGGGAGATCATCTCTGGCCTTTTCCCTCCTTTTCGCACGGATAACTAATAGAACTAAATTGTTTTCATTCAATGTAAAACAGACTTTACATAATTAATATTTAAGATTAAGGGGGGGATTTAAGGCGGGAGGAGGCACGAACCAAGCATCCATCTCTTCCGTGGCAGCGGCACTGTCGTATCTGTGTAGGGCGTTTACACACTTCCTCAGCCCGACAAATAATTGTTAGAAAACAACATTTGCGGGTCGAAGGTGTGTTAGAGGCCCTCTTTCCATCATAGGCCCTCCCCTTCGGCGCGGGTGGCTGCCAAGAGGCGGCCATCCCGTGGTCTGAGGACTTGGAGGTTTCAGAGGACGAGATGGCCGGTGTGATCCGTCGGTTGAGACTCCGGGGCAATAAGGCCCGGGCCCCGATGGGATCCCCGGCCGGGTCTGGGTCCTGGCTTTGGCCCAACTGTCCGGGCGCCTGAGGCGGCTGTTTAACAGC